TAAAGGTCGATAAAGTAACATTTAAAAACGATCGAGAGAATTGCTTATAAAGATCGTGGTCTTCTGATAAAATCCATCCAAACACACGTAGAGTAAAATGAAGAGAATCATCCACAAAAATTTCATATCTTGGCAAGATATGATTTACAGATAAAAAAGTAATAACAACAAGATTGGTTTCAATATGAATCTCCCATGTATTTTTCGATTGAAAGCTTAACTATGCGATTCACAAAGTCATCAAAGTTTTTGTATAAGGGCAAAGACACTACATTATCTAAAGATACAACGTGTTCATTTCGCTTTTGAATTGAAGAAGTAGATCGGTTTGAGAATAAAACAGCAGGAGAACTTTTACAAGGTAAATTTAACTGTGGCAATTCTCCTTCTTTCAGTGATTTTTTTCTGTCATCTGAAAAGTAATAAAATAAAATTAATATAACAACTACTATGTAATAAGTTATTTATATTTATAAATAAATTATTGTAATTATATATATATATATATATATATTTAAGCATATATATATATATATATATATATATATATATATATATATATATATATATATATATATATATATATATATTTTTTTTTTTTTTTTTTTGCATATTTATATATATATATATATATATATATATATATATATATATATATATATATATATATATATATATATATATATATATTTATACAATTATACTATATTATAGTATAGTTTTCATATATTTATATAAGTTCTTGATTTCAATAATAAACGATTACTTACAAATATAATATTGATCAACACTGAAATGCTGTTCGCATATGAATAACTTTCTGGTACGAATACGTTCTCGTAATGAGGCATCGACAACCCTATCTTTAGTAATAACATGTATCAAATCATCACCCCATTTTTTGTTGAACTCAGAATTAGATAAAGGGACTTTAAAAAAACTGATTCCTTTATTACGTCTTGATGCAGAACACCCATATATAGCACAATTTTCTCCAGGCATTATAAATCAAAACAAAAACACAGTTAAAACTCAAGAATAATAAGGAAAAATTTGCGAATTGTGCAGGATGGGAGAGCTGGAACCGATATTTTTTTTTAATGAAAGAGTTAAAACAATAAACCTTTGTTCGTTTCCGGACTATCTATTTCTTGTGACTATGGTTTTTCAGCGAATTTAAAATACGTCATTTTTAAGAGGTCTGAACTCCAATAGAAGGAGTAAAAAAATAATGACGATATTGATTGATTTGCCCGTTTAGTCCGAAACATGTTAGCTTTCGTTTGCCGTACATTATGTTAGAAAATATTTTCTAAACAATCTGCTAACCCGAGATGACTCTTGGTTATAGTTTAATAAAAAAATAAGTTTCGTGGAATTCATCAGTTAGGATTTGGTTTAATTTTACTAATTAAATAATTGATAGTTATTTATTAGTTGTTTATGCATAATCGCTTTATTATTATTTTTTTAAATAGAATTATTTTTTAAAGCTGTTATTAATTTTAGACTAAAATAAAATTTTACTAAATAGCAATAAAATTAAGTGATATAACTGTTTATAAACAATCAAAAAACAGTTTTATATGTAACAATTATAAAGTTTATTACATTTTTACAAAGTACAATGTAACTATTTAAAGTTTTTGTACTTCATATACATAGTAAATTTTAACTAAACTCCTATTTGAGTTTTAAAGCTCAAGTCTCATTGCTGTTTAGTAAAATCTGGAAATTCATTTAATTTTTTTCAAGTTATTGTTGTTGAAATCATGTAGATTTATTATATTAGTAACATAATCAACAGACAAAAATTAAGTGTTTTAAAATTCATTGTTTAGTGATATGTAAGTTGTAATATTATTACAACTTACATATCATTAAATCATGAATCAAAATATCTATTTTAAAACATTCAATTATTGTCTGATGATTATGACAGCTATTTTAACCATTTCACTTCACATAATTCTTACATTTGAGTTTATATTGTAAAAGGCTTGTTTATATCTCATAAAATTAGTTGTTTTATCAGATCTTATATATTTTAAAAATATATCTCCCTAAAACAATAAAATATACTACCAGATTAGTATTTTGGTGTTGAAATTTTTTTTCCTGAGATCTCTGTTTCAATATATATGAATATATATATATATATATATATATATATATATATATATATATATATATATATATATATATATATATATATATATATATATATATATATATATATATATATATATATATATATAAATATGTGTGTGTGTGTGTGCATGTGTTTGTGTGTGTGCATGTGTTTGTGTGCATTACATTAAATAAAACTTTACAATTTGAAAAGTTTTGTTCTTGCGTGCTGGATGTTTGGTTTATATGACTAATATTATAAATGTTTATATAATGTACAATGACTGGTAATCATGACAATGACTGGTAGTCATTGTACTGGTAGTGGTACAATGACTACCAAATAGTATATATAGCCTAATAGACTAATAACTTATAAAACACATATATAACTATATTGTAATTGTATTATTGTTTCTGTTAAGTATGTATATATATATATATATATATATATATATATATATATATATATATATATATATATTTATATTTATATATATATATATATATTTATATTTATATATATATTTATATATATATATATATTTTTATATATATATACATATATATATATATATATATATATATATATATATATATATATATATATATATATATATATATATATATATATATATATATAAAGAAAATCATTTATCGATTGTTTTTAATTTTAAACAGTGTTTAAAATCATCTGAAAATCATGAATTGATTGATGATTTAAAAATTTTGAAAAAAGTTCAAAAAAAAAAAAATTGATGATTAAAAAATTCAAAAAAATGATTGATGAGCAAAGATTCTGCCATATGATTCCAGATTATTCCTGGCTTCTTATATTTTGAATTGAAGTGATTGATGAAGATTTATTGTGCTTTTTGATTGTAATATACTGTTAATATTTGGAATTTTTTTGTTTTGTTTTGAACTTTTGTGAAATAATAAATTTACAATTGTATTAGCTTTTTGTTTTCTCATTAATAGGATAACATTTAAAAGCAAAATCATAGTTACCGTTATATCATAGTTACCGTTATATTCATTGATGCAAGTTACTATTATTTTAAGTAGTCCATCATATATTCAGGGGCCGAATTAAGGGTTTAATGTCTTTAATCATTTAAAATTCTATTTTTGGATATGGGTTCTTGGCAGTAGCGTAGCGAAGGGCCCGCAGCCGCGGGGAGGCCCAGAGTTATTAGGAGCCCAAGGCAACAAAGAAAAAATTAAAAAAAAAATGTCAGTACAATAAATAACATCTGTATCATTTAACATACATACAAAACATATATTTTACACAGGAAGGTAAAGGCAATGTGGGGGAGGGGGGGGGGGAAGGGAATAGAAAAGAAGTAATTTAGGGGCCCGGATTAAATTTTTGCGGGGGAGGGGGGTCAATTTTTTGTCGCTACGCTACTGGTTCTTGGTTCTTTTTTTAACATTTTCCTTCTTTAATTTATTTTAATTTTTTAAATTTAATTTAATATTATCTTATTTAATAAAAATTTTATTTTTGCAAATAAAATTTTTTATGGACTATGTGGAGTGCTTTTTTATGAACTTTATTAATGAGTCAATCATTGTACTTTTGGCAAAACATCCTAATCAAAGCACAGTATTGAAACTTAGAGGTTAATTTATGTGTTAAATAATAAAATAGCTTGTTTATAAGATTTCATAAGATTTGCAAACGGTCACTTTTAGCAGCCTAACTTAATTCGAAGCAAAAACGTTGTTTTTACCAACCATTAAAAATCGGTAGATTTAACTGTTAATTTTTAACTGATAATGGTTTTAACTTTTATGAGTAGTTAAAGTATTTTGGGATTTACGATCATATTATGCTCGGACGATAAACAGTGTCTACTCTTGTAAATGTTTACATTAGGAGTCTTTATAAACCTGTCCAAGGCTTTTGACACTGTTGATCACGACATCTCGTTAAATAAACTAGTAACTTATGGTATAATAGATAAAACACTAAACTGGTTCAAAATCTATTTAACTAATCACAACCAATATGTTTACAATGAAAACTCTGATTCTCAGATTTTAATGAATACTACATATGGTGTTCCGCAAGGATCCAAACTTGGACCACTTCTCTTTTTAATATATATTAATGATCTTAACAAAACCTCAAACTTAACTTCAATAATTTTTGCTGATGACACAAACTTGTTTTTATCTTATGAAAATGACAGATCATGACAGATCGTGATACGATCTATATGATTTTTTAGAAGTCCCTCTATTAATCTTTTATACATATTTTATTGTAAAGAATTACTATGGTAATTTAAAAAAAAAAAAACTAAGCATAGAACGAGGGCTGGTGTAGTATAAGTTTTTTACACCCACGTATTTTTTACTCCCCGGTAAAAATCGCATATAAAATTTGTACTCTCC